TCTCCTGGCTTGCCTAGTCTAATCCTATTTTACATTATTCTGAATTTTTTCCAACAGCTAATTCGCTGTAGTTGTGAATATTAGAAAAGTGATCTATGAGTATTTTATTTCCACATTAATTGAGAGTCCAGGATCATTCTCAGGAAGTTTCACTTTGATTTCTGGTATCTGTTGCTTTTGAAATGGCATGTTAATGAAATCAGTAGTTCCTAAATATTTTGATTGTGCTTTAATTCTGTCGTCTTCATCCACCTACTAAAAAATGGTGCTGTTTTCCATCTGTGTGAATTACATTAGTAGTATTTTAATATAAGCTGGCAAATTATCTAAAATGAAGTATGTACCATTTTTGATAACTAAACCGGTAAGTGTGGTTTATAATTCTTAAAAAACACATAGCAATTATAGCAGATTTAATGGTCAGACTCTTAACGGTAGCACTTCTGCGAATCAACCCAAGATATGTCATGTTGGGCACTAGGAAAGCAGACAAATGACAACACTTGCAGAAAGTTTGGATTAAGTGAGCTGCTGAGCAGCACAAGGGAATACTCAACGGCTGTAATCACTGTGCCATCTGTTCTTATCCTCTTGTCCCATATTCTGCTAAGCATGTGCTTCCCAAGCTCTGCTTCCCAGGGAAAGAGGGATCTTGTAGGAACAGTAGCCTCTGTCTCTGTTCAGGGACTCACTTCTTTGAACAGCATGCATTTAGGATATAATTTAAGCTACAGGAGCTGGTGTCCTTTAAAGACAAGCATAGGTTGAGTTAAATAATGACTCTTATGGTCAGAACTTTTTCATGCTCAGGCAATTGGCCTTCTCCCTTCTAAGACACGTAATGTAACAGCAGGAAAGGAAGAGACTAACAATGCCTTACTGGCATTGAGTGTTTTCATGCCTGAAAGAGGTGGCCTTTCTTGTGTGAAAGCCTGCACTTTTTTCCCCAATTTGTCTGCTAAATCATAGAACCACTCCTGCTCCATTGCATCTGCAGCACTGTCCTAGAGCTGTGGGCTGCTGAAACCAGTTTTTTACAATATCCTTAGAAGTACCACACTTAAAAATGTAGTAAGAAAATTTCTTGGCAGTGTATCTTGACCTGTGCCTTGATTTAGCAGTCCCTGTATGTATAGGTGAGTATTCAGGATATGTTTGTATCACAAGTATAATGACAAGCTCTCCTTTAAGAACATGGCAAAAAATCATATAAAGATATTAAAAATAAGTTTACTGATGATCCAGTCCATAGTCACATGTACATACATTTAGAGGCTGTCTTAATTGGTGCAGTACTCTCTTTGAAGCTTGTCACCAGATGCAGTAAGCCCTAGGAGGTTTTTTAAGTACTTTGTTGACCTTTTAGCTAACTGGGCATGAATCAGAAATTTTCTCACATAGCAGTATCAAATACTGTGCCATTGTAAACCTTGAATTCTTAAAGAGCACAACAAAATTGAAGTGTTTCAAAATCAGAAGTTTTCCTGAAGAGTTCTTAATAAATAACATTGTGGTAAAAGAATAATTAGCTGCTACTGAATTACTGAATTACATCTTGTGGAACTTTTTTTTCTATAAAATATCCTGTGCATTTCTTCAGTTAAGCATCAGGAATATAAATGGTATAGGTGGAATTCACTTCTACGCTGACATTCTTATCTCAGGATAAATAAAAGCTGTATTTTGTGTGACTAGCATTTGGGCATAGAAACATGTAAAATACTGGTGTTCAGTTTAATTATTTCCTATTGTAAGCAAACAGGCCTTGTCTTCTGTGTTTATAGTAATAGCATGACCTAGAGGAAATACAATCCAGGACTGTTTCTGTTGATCATCCTGATTAGTCACCTAATCTGATTACTCTTTGTGTTCCATATGTCAGATTCAAGGCAATAAACAGAACCCATATATGAGGCCTGCTCTAGTTTAACAATAGAAAAAAAAAAGCCTAATATAATTTGTAGACATATAGTGGATGTTATTAATTTAATTTAATTAACGATCTTCTATGAGGATTTGCTTTTGTTCATTTATCCTTTCTTCTCCCATGTTGAATTTACAGCTGCTGTAGTTTGCATACTTGTTTTTGTAAGGTCATAATTTGATTTGAAAAAGCATCTTCAACTGAAATTACTTATTGGTGCAAGAGACTGTAAGTTTATGCATGAAAATAGTGATACTTAGGGAGAAGTCATTCCTGGGTAAAGGTTTGGGGTTTTTTTTTTGTGTTTCTGCCCTTAATCATTTGAAGAACATTTTCAGAATATAATAATTTTAATATTTATAATAATTTTAATATTTTGAATGTATTAAATTATACTCACCTGAAACTAATTGTAGAGTGAAGCCATATTATAATATAAGGTATGTAATATATTCCCTCTTCTAGACTATAAGCATCATAAAACTTAATTATTTTAAGTATTTTTGGTATTCAAATAAACTGACTTTACATTTTAATATTAAAGTGCCCTCAGTGGATTTAGGGATCTGGATTAAATAGTTCCTTCATTGCTTTTACAATCTTTTGACTTTCAAGGGAGTTTTATGTGTAAATGAAGAATAAATTTGAGCTTTTGTTTTGAGAGACAAGCTTACAGGGCAATTCTATTTGTTAATCCTCTCAAAGAACTCTATTTGAAATCTAGTTCCTATGGCTTACTTGCATGTGTGGCAACTGTTGGATCCACCCATGCTAAAGTATGTTATATTTTAATGTAACTTTTGTTATTCCATTCTTTTGTTTAATCTGAGGGTCCCGTTACCTGCTTGATGGTTATTTAAAATCACAAGTTACTTGTCAAAAACAGAAACAATGTATTAGTATGTATAAACAATGCATACTCTCACATACAATTATGAGAATGCAGTGGTTTTAGTATTATTGATCATCTCTACTTTTTTGCCAGATTATGAGGGATGTAATTTCTGAATTTTATATTAGTAGAAGTGATCCTACATAAGCTAATTTTTTTGGTTTTTCAATTATTTTTTAAACTAATGAACAGTGCCTAAATTAAGATACACATCTGTAACATCAAGGCGTTTAGTATTAGTGTTGACATAATATTCCTAACTTGTCTTCATTAGTTACTGTAGCACATATGGTATGGAAGACCACCTAATGTTCTTAAAACCATTTTCATATGGGCTGTAATATTCAGACAGAATGGGGTAGATAAAATGCAAACTGAAATATCTCAATGTCCTTTATTAATTAGAAAGCTGAATAGTTTCTTATTTTAGAAAACAACTGCTATACATAAAAGAATTGTAGTAATTTATTTAATGTCACTCCAGGACAATCATACACCTAAAATGCAAAACCAGTTTCAGAGCCTTAGTCAGGCCCAGGTACGTCACAGTCAACTGAGATTAATCCCCGAATTGATGTTTAGTTCCACAGAATACTCAGTGTAAGATGTGTTATACATTCTAACACAATTGAAAAACTTCTTGGCTCCCAGTGCAATTCTTTAAAGACCACAAATTCCAGTACTCTACAGAAGGAAGATGTCCTTCAACAGTAGTCCAGGTCCCTGCTGTCATAGAATTTACCGAGTAAAAATGTTCAAATTGAAAGAATTAGGTCATGTCTCATGCTACAGAGGAGTGAACTTAACATTGCCATTCTCCTGATGGAACAGAAAGAAGCCAGCTCTGAAGCCAGCCAATCTTGGCTGCAAAGCAAACCACCAGCAGTGGTTCAGCTGGGAGAAGACATTGGTGTGATCTAATAGCAGCTTACTAATTCATACAAGGAGGTTATCAAGAAAATGGAGCCAGAGACCACTTGCAATGATGCAGGGAAGTGGAGGCTTTGGCTTGGTATGAGGAAAAACTTTCCTGGTAAGGACAGTCAGCAGTGAAGCTGGTTGCCCAATGTCATTGTGCACCTCCACCCAATTGGACAAGACTTTGAGCAACCTCAACTGACCTCATAGCTGACCTTGCTGTGAGGGCTTTGGACTAGAGACCTTCAGACCTTTATAGTCTGAATTACTTGAAGATTGTACATTCAGTCTGATATAGTTGGTTTAACTGTGATAGATTTGCACAATGCCTGATATGCAAGAAATTTTTCACTACCTCTAGGAGAAATGATCTGACACTACAAAAGACTAATAGTGATTTAGAGAAAGTAACATGTATCTCCCACCTTCCTTGTCTAGAGCTGAAGTAATACATTAGGAAAAACTCATCCCCAGTCCCTGGAAGCGAACAGCAAAAGTCCTGAAGGGTAGTTTAAATATTATGTAAACATGATAATTACACAGTAATTTTTTTCCTGTCAGTATTTACTCAATTTTAATGAGTAAATATGTAAATAAGTAAATGGAAGTTTTCAAGTAGATGCAAGTTCCATCTTTTCTACTTACAATAAACTTAATCTGGTAGATTTTCTTTTGATTTTTGTGTGGTGCAATGGGCTGTCAATTTGACATTTATTCCACTTGCAATATTACTAGCCAAATGCAATGAATACATAATTTTCATCATAAAAGTGCCATGAAAAAGCACTGAAATTTCCTTTTGTCTTCTTGAGTGGTATCATTGTGATCACCAGGAGCAGTTAAAAAAAGTGTGTAAAAATGGATTTTATTAAGTAGGCATTCTAAAGACCTTGGTGTAATAATCTGGTTAATTTTTAGGAGATTTGAATACATCGTCCAAGTTAATTTTCTTTTAATCTATCATTTTTCAGCTTCATAATTCTTAAATGATAATCTAAGATTTGGCTAGGATGATCCAGCAGAAGCAAGAAAGCAAAGGTATCAGAAAGATACACTTACTGCAAATTTACTTTCATTGTGCAAAACACTGATTAGCTTCATAATGTGTATAAGTTTAGATAATGTCATAAAATGGAAATTTGGGTATATGTATCAGAGAGAAAATGTTTGTGCAAAATGAGGTCATCACAGAGTATAAGTGCACTTGTATGTTTTTATTGTCTGGCATTTCCATTTCTCAGTTTCCATTTTCTCTCTTTTCAGGAGCTTGATTCTGAATACACTGTGTTTCAGGTAAAGTTCTTTCCATAAATAAAATTATTAGATGCAATCACTGGGAAGAATTTCCGATATACTGAATAATACTTGTTTTTTTGCTAAGTCTTCAATAGTTTTTTGGGGTTTTTTTTTGTATTGGTGAGGCATTACATTTGGTAAGGGGAAGATTTTTGATATTTTGAACAGGCAGCTTTTATATTTGATAGAATTTTGTTTCTCTCATATTTTTCCTATATCTTTATTCAGCAGTTCAATGCTTTCTGAAAACTAAATTGAATCTACCTTGAACTGAATGACCTTCATCTGCAGATGAGATTAGGAAGAAAACAGCATGTATTCACAGATAGAACAATGTTTGTGCTCTTAGGGCTCACTTTTGTGTTTTATTTCATGCATGTAGAGGTGGGCTCTTACCCATGCTCTTCCTGCTCTTGCAGCTCAGGCTCACTGCCTACCTTGTGTAGAGTCTGGTAACCTTGTAGGTGTATTATGATGATTTGCATGAGCAATGGAAAATTGAGAGTAATTAATGAATTTTCACTCTGCCCATATTAGCTCTTGATTATTGCAATGGCAAGAATAGTATTGTGCAGATGATGGTATCTTTTGGCTTCAGCCCACAGTCAGAAGAGATGAAATGCAATGTGAAATGGCAGCTTTAAATACAGGTCCTTAATATATTTTTACAGGTCTTTAATTACACTCCATGAATTCATGCAAGTTGTTTACATAGAGAATGGTTTCTCTGAAGCACTACTGGATATCTTCTTGAGTGTAATTATTACCCTTCACAATGTAGTTGTGTTCTGGGTTTTCATTGTGTACGGAGTAAAATTTATTATAATAGAAAGGATTACTGGAGAATGCAACCTCTTAGAAAAGTTTATTGCCATGTTCAGAGAAAACATTTAAATTTAAATACTAGGTTTATATTTTTAATTTGGTTTTTGTACTTTTCAGGAACAAGAAGAAAATATTCAATTGAGTTACAGACTTCTCATAAACTGAATGAAAAACACTGCCACTTCTCTTTCTGGAGTTTAGACTTACATACTGTATACTGTATACTTATATACTGTATCACATTTCTTTAATTGCTATTAGGGATTGTAAATTTTGTTCCAATTACAAGTTGAGTAAGCTTAATTTGTTATGTTGTGAATATGTCAGTTGTCTGAAATGAGCTTCCCTTTCTTTTTCTTACCATATAAATGCTGGTTTATAAAAATGCGGTTTATCTTCATAAGCTCCAGACATGGTGCTTATCACAAAACAAAATTATCTGTCCCACAAAGAGAAAGCAGATAAACTGTAAACTACAAACAGATGTTTAATTAAGGAATACTGTGTGATATTTGAATTTTTTTTGGCTGTGAAGCCTTGGACTAGGAGTTTTATACTGGAAGAGATGCCTAAGGAATCTATTTTTTATGACAGATATTTGCCAAGTAATGACAAAGAGATGTTGATTTTAAAAACACATTTTCACGTGCTAGTTAGTGGAAAAATCACAATAATACAGTTATGTCTATGTAAAGAACTAACCTCAGTTTTAGCATTTAGTGTAGAGGAGTTGCTACTTCCAGTTTCCAGAAAAATATCATTGCTGTGGGCAGATTTTCTTACTTCTAGTAAGAAATTAGCCTGTGCTTGGCTATACAAAAGCTCTAATTGGAGCATATTCCCCATATAGACATAGTTATGTTGACTGCAGGTATACTTGTCTTCGAAAAGAACAGAGTACCATCAAGGTATTAAAAATTCAACAAACTAAATACTTCATAGAATCATGAAAAACTGTTAAAAGTGTTGAACATCTAACAGAAATCTCAGCATTAATTAAAGGCTGTCATCCTACTACATAAGAAGAAACTAAAAGAACATAAAGCAGATCTGGATTATGACTGTCTGGCCTAGATTCAGATCATCCTGCTGAATTCCCTCCTCTTCATTCTTGAACAGAGATTTCTAATTGTGGTTGAATCAGCTGGCTGAAGGCCTCCTTTACTTCTGTTTGGAAGAAAGCACTTTTTAAAAGAATAGTTAAATATTTCAGCATCTTTAGATACACTCTTTTTGATTGACATAAATTTGCGTAGAAGTATAGGGGAAGTCTAGAGGAAAAGACAGGATGAATGAGAAGTATCTTGTCGCCCTGAAAACTCAGCTTCTGAGCTTGCTAACATAGTTTTCTAAAGACTTTCCCAGGACAGTAACTGTAAACATAGATATGTGTCCATTCTTTCTGTTACACATCTTGTGACGGGCATCTCTCATGGCCAGGGCAGTGAGAAAGTGTTATCCTGACCATCCAATCCCTGGCCATGGTCAGAAGCCTATAAATCCTGAGAGGAAAAATAAACTCTCTCTTCTTTTCACCACACCTTGACCTGTGTCCATGTGATCTATTCAGCACCAGCGGCAACATCATCTCATTAAATGATTACTTAAATTATTAAATAAGCCTGAGTTTCAGATCTTCTTATACCTCTTACTTAAGGAACAAACATTTCCATGTGTTTGACCTTTATTTCTATTAAGACAGCATCAGTCTGTTTCTATTTTGAAAGGTCTCCTTAGCCAATATTAAATATGCTGTTCCACCAGATTGCTGTACTCCTTGTTAGAAAGGAAACAATTTTTTTGGCAGTGATTTTTACTCTGGAAATGTATGATGATCTGTTCCATAGCTGATGAAAGATCAAGGATTGGTCTTGTGACTTCCTTTATCATGCCAATTCTGTGACTACATTACAAGCATATCAAAATCATCAAAGTGGTTGGACCTGCACTTACTTTGTTGATATTTCTATATGGCTGCTACTGATTTTTCTTGTTCTTTTTTCTCCCCACTTATTTGCTGTCTCCACAGTCTATGCCATAATTGTCACATAGACTAGAGTTATGCTTGCCTTTCCACACTGTTCAGATTATCCTCCAAAACATACAATGTAGTAATTTGTCAGTTCAGGTCACTAAAATGTATTCCAATTAATTAATAATTATAATTAATGATTATTTTTTCCAATCAACTCATAATCTTAAATGCCCAGGGTATATATTCATACAGTGTTTTACAGCTAATGCTTTGAACAAAGGACTTAGTCTCCTTTTAGACCTCCATCAGACAGATGGATATACTCAGATATTTTAAGTCAGTACCTTATTCAAGCCTAATAAAACTGTGATGTGAATAATAAGTGATAAAATTGCTGATTAGATTATTTACTTAGTGTCTTGAAGATATTTTACTTTTTACTTATCCTTATTCAGGCTGCCTGGAACCTGAAAACACGAGCTTTGACAGAAATGGTGTATGTGGATGAAATTGATATGGATCAAGAAGGAATTGCAGAGATGATCCTGGATGAAAATGCCATTGCTCAAGTTGCACGTAAGATTGACTTTCACTTAAATACATTGATTCAACAAGAGCTCTTTTGGCCATCTCTTATGTCATCTATCATACAATAGTACAAACTGAGATGACCTTAAGTATTGGTTAAAAAAGTGTTTTAGATTGTTTTATGGTTGCATGGCAATGTTGAGATCCACCATGTGTTCTTGATGTAGTACTTAGGCCTGTCAGATGAGTTCAGACCATGCTCAGTTGTGTTTTGTTAGTTTTTCCCCCTACATTTGAGGAAATATAGTGAGCATATAAGTGGTCACTTGCTTTTTCCATCAGTATGTTGATTTCTTTTACTCCTTTCTGTCTTCTTCAGGCATTGTGGAAAACTAGTGAAAAAATCTGCTTTCAGTGTGCTATCAGTTTTATCCATACGCCTTGTCCATGTGCCTTAGCCAGATATCACTTTTTGGCATCATGTCCTGCAAACGTTATCTCAACTGATTTTTCTTTCTTCTGCTTTTCTCTACTTCATTCTTCTCTTCCTTCACAGTGCAGTTCTTCAGCTCTGCCATTGATTCTTCTATACAATTCTTTTTCAGCTTCATCATTTCCCTTCCAAGTGGACAATAATTAGTTGTCTTCCAGTACTTTTTTAGCATTATTTGTAACTTTTTCTGTTTCTTTAGTATAGTCTACATGGAAATTTTTATGTAACTTATTAAGCGTGACTTTCTACCACATACCATGAAAAGGAATTCAAGAGAAGAAATGGACATAGGCCAGAACTGATACTTGAAGTGTTAAAAGGTTTTTCTATCTGGATAGATGTAGGCAATTGCATATCTATCTGATGACATTTTTTAAAATTTTCATTACATGCTTAGTCACAGTCAAGCAGTAGTGGAGATGCGTTTATACATTATGATCAACTAATTATAGATATCTGTCTTAAAACACCATTGTAATAAAATTTAGAGGTTTGATTTGATTTTATGCCCCCTGAAGAGATTATCTTCCAAGAAAAGTGATTTGATGAATACTATTTAGAAATAAGACATTCTGGAAAAATATATTCAGACTATGTTGAAACTGAAAAAAGGTGACTTTCTGGATATTGTGTCATAGATTTCAAAACCAAAGAAAATTATTACAATAGTGTAGCCTGCACTTCTGAATCATTGAGATAAGACTTTGTTGTTCATGCTTCAAATCTGCTAGGTGTGCCTGTACAAAAAAAGTACAAGATCTTTATGAACAGAAGAATCCTTCATCAGTTCACCTGGGCTCAAGCTGGTTCAGTGTTTTCATTGATGTCCTTTGGATATGGATGTGTTCTTACTTTACAGCGCTCTAAATTGTAAGAGGGATCTTACCATGGTCTAATGTCATGAGATACCATTCTCCATCTGCTCTGTAGGTGAAGGTTTAGATTTACTTACTCAAGTCTGGGTGCCAGATAGAAAATGTACCATTTCGAGTTAGTCTGATCTCATAGTTTCAGTAACCTTCTTTAGCACTGTGTGGTATTTCTAAGATGTTCTTGACAATTGTTTGGGTCAACCCCAGTAGGCATCCACACAGGCAGTTGTTCACTCCCCCCAGGTGGGATGGAGATGAGAATGGTGAGGGTGAAAGAAAGAAAACCAATATTCATTGTTTCGCAGGTTTCTTGCAATAGTCTATCAATTTATCAGTAATAGAATGCAATATTTGGGGTTTGTCTTCTTTGTTTAGTTCTTTGTCCCATCAGTTTGAGTAAATAAATTTCTGTCTTACTGTTTATCATAAAACACAATCATGTTTGAAGTCATCTGGACAAGGGAGTAATATCTCAAAGTGAAAGGAGAAATGCTATTATTTTGTAGGACCGGGAACATCTTTGAAACTTCCTGGAACTAGCCAAGGTGGAGGCCCCAGTCCAGCTGTTAGGTATGTGATAGTTTATTTTTAAAAATGTGATGAGTTAAATTAAGAAATCATAAACTTAACTTCTGAAAATTAAATGCTTCAGGTATAACTGTTTAAATTCTCTATTAATAAATACTACTTAACGTAAGGATAATGTACTTAACATCTTCAGGCCAGTAACTCAATCAGGAAGACCTATTACAGGATTTGTGAGACCCAGCACACAAAGTGGACGGCCAAGTACCATGGAGCAGGCGATAAGAACGCCTCGAACAGCACTCACAGCTCGTCCAATCACTAGTGCTTCCGGAGGATTTGTCAGGCTGGGCACGGTGAGTTGCTTCCCCCTGTTCCCAGAGTGGAAGATTTCTTGGTCACAGTATCTGGCACGGTGACACTATAGTTTACTTAAAAGCTGCATCTAAACTCAAGTTTGAAGGAGGCAAGTATTTTTAATTATTTTAATTCTTTTCAAAATAGAGTTTGAAAAGGTAACTTCTTGGGCATTTGCTAGTCTGTTTATAATAAAACAAAAATTTACATAAAATCACAAGTTCACCAGGATTCATATGAATTCCAAACTGTTCTATTGGCAAAATTAATAAACTGCAACCAACATGAATATGTAATACATATTAAAATCACATTAATGGCAAAATGTGGCATCTTCTCACTATTGCATGTAAGAACTAATCTTCCTAAGTATTTCTTGAAGATTTTTTTTTGCTTATGTATCCCAACTACCAAGCTATGTGCTTAGGCAGTGTATGGAAATAGTGGGGACAGAGAAGAAAGAGTCCGTACTGCATAGTAGAGCAGTGAGTCTACAAATGTTTTGTTTGGAATTTGGCGGATTTTTTTGTATACTAATAATATTTTGAAAATCTTCAGGAAAAGTGTAGGGCATCTTCCCACTTAAAAAGCCTTTTTTTCCCCCTCAGGCTTCAATGCTAACAAATCCAGATGGCCCTTTCATAAATCTGTCTCGACTGAATTTAACAAAATATGCTCAGAAACCCAAACTGGCAAAGGTATGTAACAATTTTAGTTAGTGTTGTGATATCTTTTTTGTATTTTCTGGTTTCTAATGTAACTGTATATGGGATTTGGGATAAAAACAATGATGAACAGTGGTTTAGATATTAACTTCAGAAAAACAGTGTGTTACCCATCTTTTGACAGTGTTTACCAGACTTGAAATTGAAGATATGCCTAAAGAGATTTTAGTGAAAGTATACCTAGGAAAAATATTTGTATGGGAAAAAATATTCCACTGGTAAATAACTTTGAGCTGTGCATCTAGGAGTGATGAAGGGCAATTATAAAAAGAAAAAAAAAAGCTAGGAGCAAAAAACCAGCAGAACCTTTCTGAATATCTGGAAATGTGGTTCTGTGTACAAATAGCTGGCAATCCAGGCCTAAAAATGTTCACAATATTTGGATTTTTTTCCTTTGATTTTATGGCATGAGTTAACACTTTTTATGTAAAAAGGTACCATTTTTTTGTTCAGAATACTTCAGTTAAGATCATCTGATTGACAGTCGAAGAAACTGTCTGACAATAGAACAGGTTTTTGCAGGTTGTCTGCCCAACTTACAGGTTTCAGCTCTGAGTGGCAGGGAGCTGAATGTTGTGTGAAGATTTATCATTCTGTTGCCTTTCAGTTGAATCTTTCGTTCCCCAACACAACCAGTTATCTGTGTGGTTGAACATGTTTTTTGTGCATAGTGCATTCATAAAAAACAACTGTTGGGCTGAGGCAAACAGCTTATTTTACACAACGTATCAAGGAATTATCTCTAGGGAGCACAAAGTATCAAACACACCCTAGAGCGCTATATTTGGCTCTCAGCCTAAAGGCGAACAAACCAATATGAATTCAGTCTATTTTGAGAAACATAATGGTGAACACTTAAGAAAACTGACAGTATCTGATAATGTGCTAGTGGAAATAGCTCTTCCAGTCCAAAACTTTGGTTAACAGTTTTTCATAAGCAACCAGGACATTTCTTTGCTTTTTGAAGTCTGATCTAGACTGATGTAGAGCATTTCAATTCAGTGTGGTTTTCAAAGGAAATAAATCTTGTGTAATTGCACTGTGTCCTTCACCCACTGCTTGCATCATTGTCCCTTGGCCTCCTAACCAAACTTCTATACCAGAAGAATAGGAATCAAATATAGTAAGTTCTAGTCTGGTGAGGTAATTGAAAACTTCCAGACTAACATCTGTGGGCAATTACAAATCAGTTCATTATCAGCACTGAAAAAATACTGTGTGCTTTTTGTCCAATTATGTCCTTGCTGGCAATCAGCCAGCAGACACATTATTATAAATCCATTACTGTCTGGAAAACAGGAGGAACATAAGAAACCTGGGAAGGATTAAGAAGCACAAGACACGTCCATAAAAACTGGGCTTAATTCTTCTTCTTGAAGACAGCTAACTTTTAATAGTGATTGCTAACTACATGCTATTTAAGTAGGTAGGTTAGCTTTCAGAGGAAATATTCACAACAACGGCTCTCAGGAATGAGAAACATACATATTTTTAACAATTTTGGGTTTTAATTAGCATTTTCTATGGCAGATTTGTCTTCCTTTCAGTTTCATATGAAAAGAAGCTTAAGCCAAAAAATGTAAATCAGCAGTCATAGAAACATCCATAGGCAGCAAGTGTGCTTGTCAGTATTATGAAGCTAATACATTATGACATTAACGTTTCATACAGAATGAATCTAAGTTTAAATTTGGAGCTACATGGATTTATAACTTTTTTTTTTAAACAAAACAGCATTAAGGCTAAAGCTAAAGCAGGAGGTGCACTCTCTGTTAAGAATAATTTATTAAAGTTTTAAAACTTTTTTCAGCTGTTGCCTCTCCAAGTGTATAAAGGTGATAAACCTTGCAGCTATTGAGTTCACATAATTTGCCAGTCTATTCATGTTTGTATATGAACACCTCCTCCATACTGCTTCCTTATGTGTTTGCAAAGTAGCCTCACTGTATCTTTTTTGAAGTTAGATTATCTGTATAAGGTTTTCCAGTGTTTTGAAGTATAGCCACAGAAATGTGGCTTGTCTTTGACTAACATTAACCATGTTAAAGACTATTTCAGGAAACACCAGTGTAGACATATAAGGTATCACCTGTCACCAGAGAAAGCCTCTGGTAAATCCCAGTTAACAACTATTTTCTGGTATGAAACAGAAAGTTTTATCTTTTTTATCTTGTGGATTTTTAATAGACTTATCAAGATAACTCTAGATATTTTTATCCAAGTGAATGTTCAGTCACTTAAATCCTTTTGAAGGTCAGAGTCTGTGCATAACAGCAGTAAATTCCTTATGCCTGCCATGCAAGAAAATATCTTTTTTGTCTCTTTAGATTTACACACTTTTACTGAATGCTTCTCTGTTATTGAACTAGAGGAGAAAATGTTCCACTACTTCTTTATTTTCTATTCTTTTCTTATCTACCTATTCTAAGCTTCTTATAAATGTGTTACTATTTATAATTCTTTAATGTCTTTTAATCATCTGTTCAGAGTCTTTTCTGACTGAAACTAGAAGAAAAGTAGGTTGTGGTTTATTTTCCTCACAAGATTAGTAATTCTCTAGTTTCCTAAAGGTAAATATTTAAAAAATTTTGTCTAAGAAAATCTGGCAGAAGTGTCATGGAAGCCCTTAGGAGACTGAAGTCTTGTTCTGTATTTCTTTCCTCACAGGGCAATATTTTCTCCTGTTTTTTTAGAATGAATTAAACAAATTTAGAAAAATGTTCTGTTCCTTTTAAGCAATTAAGACCTGGGATTTGGATGCAGAAGAAGGTCAAGGTTCAACTCAATTGAACCTTGTGTTACTGGCACCTATAGTACATTTTTGGGAGCAGAGGCTTCCAGTCTCCATTTAGTTATCAAGTATCTTTCAATGTCATTTAATTCATGAAAATGCCACCCCCATCACCTGATATATACTCATCTAATATTCTAGTGCAGAAGAACTACAAAATAGTATGACTTAATTAGCTTTACATACAGGAGGAAACAAAGCTGCAGTTATTTTGCTATGTAATTGTTGTGGGCTTATGAGCAGTTAACCACAACACAGCTGATAAATGTGACTTCTTTAAGCTTTGATATTATGATGGTGTGTTTGAGTTTCAGAAGCACAATATTATTAACATTTATTTATAATTTACAAACAATTTTTAAAAATATTTTTTTCCTTTACAGATCCAAAAATATTGTAGAGCTTAAAAAATATTTCCACTGAAGGCACAGTTTCCTCAGCTTGCATTATTATTAAACATAATAAATAAAAAAAATTTAAGTAGATTTAGCACTATGTATGCACCTGAGTGTCCATTGCAAAAAGTGGTTTTTTAGATCACTGGTTGATTTTACAGGTAAAAAGTCATTAAAATAATACCAGATTCTCAAATATATATTTACTTTCAAGTTATAGCTTCCTTTTTTGTTTTAAAGTGGTGTAAAGCACCAAAGATAAGATGCAATTCTGCTAATCTTTTGCAACAAATTAGGAATTAAGCTGCTTGCCTGTGATCACAGTGTAGTATATCTATAGTTTTTATAGGAGTCTTAAATAAATATAAATGTCAGCATTCGTTTTGTGTAAATATGATTGTTTTCCCAAAGAATTAATTTCTGCTTAGCATAATCAAGATTCTGTATTCCTCTAAGAATATTATCAATTTTTCTCTTCAATTATGACAATGTTTTAAATATTTTTTTCTGGCAGGCATTGTTTGAATATATCTTCCACCATGAAAATGATGTAAAAAATGTAAGTAACTCATATGTTCCTTTTTTTTAGATTTTATTACGTATGATTCAGTTATTTCTATCAGTATTCTCCTAAACTAAGGATCCAGGTAGAACGTCACAAGTACACAAGTGGAGCATTAATAGTTGTTTAAGAGGGAGAAATCCTTTCTTACAAGGGTGATAGTCAGGAATGATAATTGGCAAATACCAAAATATGGATAGCTATCTTTTTTGAGAAGCAAAACACTTCAATTCTTAAAACTGGGTCCCTCAGCTATCAATATGACAAGGTCTCTGAATCTAATGAATTCATGTTAATGGAATCTATTGGAGCTTGGTAGCTGAACTTGGAGTGATAGCTGAACTGACTAGGAAGTTCAGAGTCCTGAGGCTTGAGTATAAGTTACAAAAGACTGTCCATTAACAGAGGTAGGTGAAAATACCTGACAAAACAGGTATTGTTGGACATCACTTGACTTTTTTTACTCTTCAGATACTGCTTATGTATTTGGTGAAACTACATAAAAATACAATACCAGTAGGATTTTGGATACTTTTTATAGAAACATAAATCTGTAGTGCTGAGGTGTTTTGTGATATCAAGAGAAAGATTATATTGTCCATATGATTGTCTGTAAAATTTATTCTTCAAATATTTTCCGAATAATAGTTTCCCTCTTAATCTATCCAAAAATTTTCTTCAGTGGTTCTTGTGTTACTGCACTGGATGGGAAAGATCAAGTTCAGGTACATATTGTTAAAGCTTCCAGAAAGAGATAAATGTTGCAGAGGTTTTTTTGGCAGTTCACCAAGGGAAAGAGTGTCTCTATGGAATTAATAAAGTGCTAATATATTTCATTGCTATGTTAGATATGTTCACCCAGTTGAAATGGAATCAGAATGTCCAAATTTGTTTGAAAGAAGTTTATGTCAATAATGTGTAGCTGACTGAACAGCTATTGAACCTTCTGCAACACTACTAGCTGGTGTGCAGTTAGATCTGCTGTTAAACTCTCCAGTTAATCAATAACACACACAAAAAATATTTTGCTGTTTTTGACATAGGTCCTAATCATTTCCAAGTGTACTGCTATGTGAAGCTTTTTAATCTAGCATCAACTGATTATAGTTGTATACTGTCAATTTGTTGCATAGCATTCTTTTAAGAGGATTGAATTGTAATGCACTGTTAATCCAAAATATCATTGAAACAGTAAGTGCAAGTGTCAGAAATGTCAGAGGAAAAATAGAAATTAACATTAACATATTCAATGCTGAATATGAAGAAAGTACCTGGGTTTTAGCCCAGTAGTAATTAAAAATTGATGTTTTTTACTGAAAGTCCAGTTCACTGAGACTAAAAGGGTCACTTGATATGCTACATGCCTTCTCTTTAAGGACATGCAGGATCTGTAGGCTAGACCTAGATTCATATAATGCAAGTAATTTTCCAAGTACTTCAGAAAAAAATTGGAAGATGTTTTTACACTGTACTCCATGTATTTTGAAATCCTTGCTGAGAATCCCAAATCACTGTCTTGAAAAAAAAGTTCTGTCTATATTTTCTTACCCACCTGAGCCATTTGAGTAAATACTTGTAAGCAAAGAGGTGTCAGCTTAATCATTACCATTTACTGTGTAATGAGGGAGATCAGTGTTTGGTTAATGACTGCATCTTCTTGGGATAAAATATTGCTGTGAATTGAATACACACATCACAGAACAAGGTGTCTTCATAATATAATGTATATCTCTGAAGAGAGATTTTTTTAGCTGTTCAGTATGCTCTCATTTTCTTTCACTTACTCTTTTCTTATGTGCTTTCTACACCATTTGCAATATAACTGTTCTCCAAACTGTTCTCCTTTCCTTTTGAAACTCATCTGCATTAATTTTTCTTAAAAAAAAAGAAACACTTTAATGTCTGCTAAAATGTGGCTGCATCACTGTTTGTTCACGTCTCCTAGAAATGGCCTTTCACAAATTCAGTATCTTGCATCTCCCTGGAAGGAATTTGGTTGCTTAGGGTTCATCAGAGAAACAGCAGATACGTTAACTTTTAAAACTTGATCTGGCTCTTGCTTGATCACTTGTTAGAACATTCACTGACATCTCTTACATCTATGTATTTCCTGCTTCTGTGTGATGATGGACTTTCTTAAAACCCAACACTTTTCTGCATGAGATGAGATGAAAGAGCTTGAAAGGCTTGGAAGCCTCAGAAATTGACTTCAGTTTGAAAAGTCTTTACTTTGGGCTTTCTACATGGATAGAATACCACTTCCTGCAGTTTTGCAAATAAAACACAAAGCAGTAGTGACAATTTCCTTTCTTTGTCACTGTGCTGAACTGGAACAGTCTGGACTGTTCTCATTTGCATTATTATTTGAGAAACAAAGGCGTTTTTTTTTATTTATCTTCTGTTTCATATTCAACCAGTATATAGAAAGAAAAAAAACACCTCATCAATTTCAGTTGAGAAATGCCATTAATCAGTGTGCATTCAACTGTATAAATAAAGTGCAAGGAAATTGGTTCAAATTAAAACTAAATATATCTGTAATCTATCAATTATCAGAAATGTGGGGATGCAAGAGAAGTGGAGCTTTTCAGCACTTGAAAATATATTCAAAAGTCTTTTGTCTTATGTAATGAAAAATTAAACACTTGTCTGAAGAAAATGCTCTTTCTATAACCATTATCGTTCTTGACTTGTTTCCTTTTGAACACATACACTTAATAACTGACTTTCTGTACTCCTTGAGTTATTTCTAAAAGCCATTTTATGGGCTAAATGCTGTAAGAGCAGGGCAGTTTCAAAGACTTGTCCAGAAATAGTTCTGCCGCTACTTTTTTCAGTAGTCCATGACATTGTATTTTGCCATTATTCACAGGTGAGTAATGGTGGTAAAACACTTTGTCCTGAGGAAGCACAAAGATTGTAAAATATATACGTGTGGCCAGAAGTCACCACCTCTAATTTTTCCTTAGTTCTTCTCAATACTTTTTAGTTTTCACTCTCTGATAGAAATTTATTTAAAATGGAATTATGTTAGATCGACAAAATATAGAAATCCAGAAGACACTCAACAAAATAAATGTGCTAAATTGACTATGGCTAATGTAATTTCCTCAGCTACCTTATAGGCTATCTGGTGTTGATTTGTCTACAAATAAGACTTTAGTCAATAACTGTTGCTGGGAAAATTACTGCCATTCAACAGCACATGAAAGAAGCAGCAGATGCTCACTATTGTTTCCATCTATTTAATTTCTAGGTGCATACAATACTCTGTATGAAATTACTGTTTCAAACAACTGTACATATACCAATTTAATTTTTCAATATAATAGTAAATTGCCACAACCCTACAGGCTGTTTTATACTGTGTTACAGCTGGTAGATAGTTTGGAAGTTTTAGTTATAATACAGTTTAGCTAAGGAAAGTAACGGTAAAAAAAAGAAACTTAGAATCATGCTAAATACAGTTAAAGAATCTACATTAATTTTCATTCTTTAACAAAAACTTGTTTTTAAAAAGAGACAGAAAATCCACCAAAGTATCAGGGTTTTTAATAATTTTTATTTGCACAAACATAAGAGCTGAGAGTAAAATAAATCTGTTCTGAAAAGCTTCTCAGGGTTAAGGGTGTTGTTGAAATGGACTCTGCATTCTTGAGTATGCTGAGTGCTCTAGACAGTAACAACTTCAGCTCATGAATATGTCCAGGTGATGAGTTTTATCATAAAAATTATGAAAACTTTCAGGACAAGCAAATGTAGGCTTTGAACTGATATATATATTACAATCAAAAATCCTTAGAAGGACATATCAGTATCTGCCAATTCCAAATCCATCCTGTTATTCCCTTTCAGTTATTGATATGACTACATCCAGCAATGTGCAGGACAGGCATGTCACTACTGCTTTTATAGACTGGTTTTAAATTAACATGTTGTGCTGATTGAATATTGATTAGTACCCAAACTGTACAAATTGAGAACCTGAAGTTTGCAGCGAACTGAAATTTAAATATGCTAGCAGTTGGTATTGACATAGCAAGTTGAAAGCTTTTACTTTTAAAGTACTATTTAAATACATTTACTAACATTTCAAGGGCCACATTGTCAAAAGATTTTTTTTTTGTAATACCAGCAGAAATTTTAACTATTAGCATGCACAAAGCCTTCTCAGACAAACAATTTTTAGAAGTATTTGTAACTTCAGTAGTATTTTCTGATTGAAATTATTGTAATTGTTTGTAAAGTATCAGAAACAGGATCTTCCTCTTCCTTTCCTTTTTCATTAATTGGAAAATATAAAAACAGGATTGAATTTCATTAACTAACTTCAAAATGAAGTCATGCTGTGTTTCTTGATGTTAGTAGAAGATTCCAGGAAGATTTCAGGATCTGCACAGACAGATAAACTGCTGATGTTACTGTCTACTAAACCTGAAGCAGTCTTAGTTCCCATTTTCCAATCACAGCCAGAATTCCTAGCCTTGCATAAAATGTTATCAGAAGCAATTAGGCTACCAGAAAGAAACCTGAATATGTAGCTACAGAAGGCATCATTTTGTGAAACTCAGTCCTTATTGAGCCTTTGCCATTGGAGAACTCTAAGGAACTCTTTGGAGCACAGTATTTGCAGTATGATCCTTTCTCCTCTGAAGTGGCTGCTCCTGCTGCATTAGAAGCAGGTGTGGTATCTGACAGTTGCCCACCTTATTTATACATTGGTAAATGCATCAAAAGTAACCAGTGTTTTAACAGCAACTACTTTCACAGACTTTCCAGTACTGAGACAAAATTGCTTATGTACCTTCATTTGAAAGGAAGAATCTGTCTGGAAAGGTATCTGGACAATTTCTAAAGTTCTAAAGCAAGCTTATTCCCCATCATAGTTGTAGCGTCCAAAGGCCATGTTGGGCAATTTGCAACATTAAGAAACAAAGAGCAGCCAAGATAATAGTTGCCATCTATAGCCTTAAAGGATTCCACCTGACTTGAAGAAATAGTGAATTCAGAGTTGTAGGTTTAGCTGAGTTTTATCTCTCCTGTAACAGAGGCAGGGAATGACAGCTGTCTCTTTCTCTTAGAAAGAGGGGCAGCACTGATGGAAGTACTAATCCTGAATTGCTACAGAAAACAAATTATTCTTTCTCACAAAGCCAAAAGAGAGCAACTTGTCTAAATTGTCATAGCTCCATTGACTTTTCTTCGTTATGTCAGATCTAAACCCTTTGACTACTTGCAGCCTCATTTTGCTAGCATAAAGAGCAGAAATTCAATGTAGGCGTAGATGTCACTAAATTGGGCTCTTACAGCATTTCAATATTCAGATTAATTTTTCCTGGAATTATTTGTTTCTCTGCTACTGAGTGATTGGTGCACAGAACTTTTACATATTGTTCCTAATAGATAACTTGTTTCTGATTTCTGTGGTCAGCAAAATGTTTACCAAAAAAAGCAGGCCAGAATGGTAGAAAGGTCGGTTCTTTGTTATAAAAACATTGTGTTAAAGCTTTTTACCCTACTTCTGATGATATACTGAAAATATAACAAACATAGGATGGCTTTGATATGTTCTGAGACAAAATGAAATTTAAAAAAAAGAAAGAAAGATGAGTGCTTCTGTGGTAGGTTGTGGTACAGAAAAAGACATGTATTTGTTTTAACAGAGGTGTTGAAATGGGGGCCATAGATTCTGGCTGTGGTGCCTGATCAGAGCACATTGATTAGCTTACCTGCTTTTCCAGGATACCAGACAAAAAAGATTTTAGACCTCTACCATCTTCAATAGATATCTGTTTCTTAGAATATTTCTCTGTTTTTCATGTAATAAAATAATTGTTTACATTATAGACATTTTAAAGGAAGAAATATTTCTTCTTGTACACATTTTGAGAGCTTCCAGAAGTAATGGAAACCTGATATTAGAAATGAGATGAAAATTTATACAGTATTTCAAATGCACTCAATTTATTTCAGTTTATTTTTACTTGGTTTTAACAAGTTTTACTGAAAAAGGATGGGAAGCTTGGAAAAAGGTTTTGTGCTCAAACAAATAGTATATTCTGAAGTGGCACTACAGGAATCGGATCAAATTAATTTTCTATTTTCTCTTTGATTTAGAAGAAACAGGATTGCCTATTTTTATAGAGACAAATAATCCTTTCAACTATTTTATGCACTGACCTATGAAAGTAATAAACAAAAAGCAGTGTCCCCACCTCAAGTTAACTGGACTTTTGTTCAAAATGTTCTCTTTACAAACATCTTTACTGTGTTTTCTTTGTGTAAACATCAATTTTAAGATGATTGGTTTGTTTTGGAAGGCTCTAGATTTGGCAGCCCTTGCCACTGAGCACGCACAATTCAAGGACTGGTGGTGGAAAGTCCAAATTGGAAAGTGCTACTATAGGTAAGTCATTGTTCATTTCTTCTGCAGTGAGTGATTGTGAGTGCAGGACCTGTACTTCTGGGTGTATTGGGCAATGCTGAACACTGAGAAATAGCTCAGAAAGTGTTTTGTTGGAGAGTGCTGTGCTTACATCTCCATTAATGTACAAGGAGACCACTCCTTGAGATAAAGGCATCCATATTGAGTAACTGAATTAGTTGCAATTTTGCCTGTGTTAATGGATTTTAAAGTAATTATTTGAAAAGTCAGTCAAAAGTCAGTCAGCAAAGAACTATTGTTAAAACAGACCACATAAAATAAATATTACAGTATTAGTTTGAGAAATAACCTGTCAATGAAGGCTTCAGATTGATGAAATAATACAGAATAAAATATTCATGTTAGATGCTTTCTGCCAGAATTACATTGCCCAAGAAGTACCAGTTAAAAATATGCTGAGGCCTCAGGCTGGCAACCCATACACAGGCATCAAATCAGAGTAGGATAATGAGAAATATTAGCAATTCTTAAAACTACCATCTACCCTTTCCTTCTTCCTGGGCTTAACTTCACTCCTTATTTTCTCTATCTCCTCCCTTCCCAGCAGTGCAGGGGGACAGGGAATGGAGGTTGCAGTCAGTTTGTCTCTGCTGCTCCCTCCTCCTCAGGGGAAGGACTCCTCACATTCTTCCCTTGCTCCAGCGTAAGTCCCCCCACCAGGGTTATAAGTCCTGCTAGCAGACCTTCTCCAGTGTGGGCTCATCTCTCCATGGGATGATAGGCTTTGCCAGGAGTCTGTTCCAGCATGGGCATCCTGTGGGGTCATAGCCCCCTTTGGGCATCTACCTACTCCAGCGTTGGTTCCTTCACAGGCTGCAGGTGGACCTCTGCATCCTCTTACTCCTCCATGGGCTGCAGAGACATGGAGGCAGCTGCCTCACCACTGTCTTCACCAAGGGCTGCAGAGGAATTTCTGGAGCATCTCCTTCTGCTCCTTCTGCACTGACCTTGGTGTCTGCAGAACTCTTCTCACACATTCTTACTCCTCTCTCTGCTTGCCATTGTATGTTTTTTTCTTCCACCTTAAATGTATTATCCCTGCATGCTACATTATTCCTGTGCTGATGATGGAGGCACTAGCACCATCATGGGTGGGCTCATCCTTGGCCAGCCATGAGTCCAACCTGGAGCCCTCTGGCATTGGCTCTGTCGCACATCAGAGACCCGTCAGCTTCTCGTAGAAGCCATTCCTGAATCCCCCAGCTGCGAAAACCTTGTCATGCAAACCAGTACATGAGGTTAGAGGTCATTCATTGCTTTCAGGATTTTTATAGAGACTAGTAATTGTTATAGAGATTAATGCATCCAAGCAGCTACATGGACTTCCAGGATCCCAAAATACCTTATGTCCCCGTTGGCTATGTTTCTTTGTTTTAGCTGGCTTGTTCTGTTTGTATTTTGCATTTCTTCAGCAAGTATGTGCTCTTTGGCTGAAGGAAACAAAAGGCAATTTGTACATGAGAAAATTTACCATTTTCTATTCTTGAAATTGCATAGTCCTCTTAATTTGTAGTGAAGTAGCTTTTATAGATTAGTGCAAAACATTTGACTCTAATTATGGAAAATAAATGCCTATGAGATGAAACAGATTTCTGTGATGTTCATTTACAGTGGAGATTATCTGGGTGATCTTTGCCATGGGTGAGGAAATTCTGGTTTCAAACAGTTTGGGTAGAGTTGAGACATTAATTGCTCATTTCTACAGTCTGTTCTAAGAGTGGGAGAAATTCCTATGAATATGAGTACATCATTATTCACCATTCAGCCATTCCAGGAGGCTGCATATATAAGAGGGGGCCAAATTTCATGGATTTGTCTTTTTGTAGTTTTGAATGGCTGTTTTGTTATCTTTATATAACGACATGTTTTTTGTTAACATGCACACAAATATGTGGTCATAAAGTGTGCTTTCAGGCAGTTTATGCTTGATTTTGTTTAAACTGCTTCATTATTTACTAAGGTTTTAAAAAAATACTCAAAAAAAATAAAAATAAACAAGTACCTTCTATATGTGTCTGTTGTCTCTTTAGGTTGGGATTATATCGTGAAGCCGAAAAACAGTTTAAGTCAGCCCTTAAGCAGCAGGACATGGTTGATACGTTCTTGTATTTGGCAAAAGTAAGTCATAGATGCATCATTGTGTTTAAAAGTGGATGGTCTCCATGCATGAGGCAATACATGCTAACAGTTGCAATGGAAGTGAATAGTTTACAAAATTATTTTAGAGCTCCCAGATTTCACAAACAAGATTAAAAAAAAATCTCTGATGTTACTGGATTCTTTGTTCTAAACTCCAATGAGAATTATGAAGCTAAAAAAATTATTGGAGTTCAAGTATGAAGAACAATGTGGCTATATATGGTCTCCTAGGAAACGAATGCAATAAATCTGTAAATAAAGAGCAAAGCTCAAAATCCTAGTTTCACAAGCAAAATCAAAACAAAGTGAGCTTGTAGGAAGCAATCGGAGACCTTGAAACGGGGAATGTTCTGTCACAATAAAGGCATTAAAAGCTTTAAAAGAACAAGTGGCACAGCTGAGTCTCAGAATTACTTGTTTACCAGGATGCACATTAGATTCTAAACGTTTTCTAAGGCATTCAAGAAAAGGTGGCCTGTGAGAAGCTAAAACTACAATTTTCTTCATTGTGTTCTTGAAGGAGATGAAACCAGTTGCTCTTTATCAGTTCCCCTTAAGCCAGCTGTCACAGGCCTGTCCAAAAGTCATCATTGCTAGTGACATTCAGATATTCATATGTGCTTTATGTTTCTTGAGCAATTTATATTTTGTATTTAAATGATCGTGATTGTTATCTGAAGACATGTCTTCAATACTGTGTTTGAAGTTCACTGAAGCTTATTAATTTTCCTGTCTCTGTCACAAGTCATTCTACAAAATACATAGGATCACAAAATGGTTTGTGTTGGAAGGGATGCCAAAGATCATCCAGTTCCAATCCCCACCCCCTTGCTGCATGGACAGGGATACCTTCCACCAGACCAGGTTGTTCAGAGCCCCATCCAGCCTGGTCTTGAGCATTGTCAGGGATGGGGCATCCACAGCTTCTCTGGGGAACCTGTTGCATAGTGAGGAATGTCTTCCTACTATCTAATATATCATCTTTGGTGTCAAAGCCTTTCCCCCTTGTCCTGTCTCTACATGTCCCTGTAAAAAGTCCCTCTTTAGCTTTCTTGTAGGGTCCCGTCAGGTGCTGGAAGGCTGCAATTAGGTGAGCCCACATCCTTCTGTTCTCTGGGTTGACTCAACTCTCCCAGCCTTTCCTCCCAGGAGAGGTGTTTCATCCCTCTTATCATCTTGCTGGCCCTTCTCTGGCTTGCTCCATTAACTGCACAGAATTATTAAAATGTCAGAGTAATTGGATTAACAGTGATTCATTACAGGAGATTGCATCCCCCTACATCAGTACTGGATCAGGCAGGAGCTGCATTTGAAGTTCTACCTCCCACTCTGTAGGCCAGCTTACTCAAGTATAAAATATTGCACAGCATGACTTTGTGACTGTCAGTGGACAGGCAATAGAGTAAGGCACTGAGATATGGTTCAGTTTAACAGAACTGAAAAAACAGGCTTGAGTTAAGCAGCCATTAAAAGTTAATAAGATTGCATAAAATTCTGTGGAAATATACTGATACTACAGTACTAGTTTTGTTTATATTCATTATTGCAACAGCTATCTGGGTTTTTAATAATATTTTCTTGAAAGTTATCTCTGACTTGAAATGTAGTTTACAAAAATATAAAAGACCAAAAGAAAAAAAAAAAAGTAGGAGCCTTTAAAGCAGTCAGGACCTGTTGTATTTCATGACCTAGAAGAGCTAGAAATGGGATATTTTTACAAGAGATAAACGGGAGACCAAAAAGAAAATGGAGCTATTCTGCTTTTAGTATATAAACTATAATTACTATAGCTGTAGTATATAATTACTATAGCTTTTAAAGAACAAGTCTCCCCAAAGCAACTGCGAGTAGATGGAAATTTCCCCACCTGTTTTTTAATTTCTTTTGCCACTTTCCAAGAGAGCAGCTCTACTGTTTACAGAGATGTTGGACAGTGTGATATCACACTGGATATGGGGATTACATAGTAGAGCACTCTTGCTGTGTGGTCTTAGCATCTGCAGTGAGTGTATCTTTGGAGACAACCTCTATATAAAAGAATAGAGCCGATTTAAGTCATTAATGCTCAGAAAACATACTTCATAAACAAAGATAAAAATATAAAAAAGGGGCAGATCTAGGGGAGTTTCACGCTGTCCATTTATTAAATTGGATGCATCGTTCATGGTTAATGATGTAATTAGTGCAGATCTAATCTACTAAGTACTGTGCCCTCCTTGTTCTTTTATATATTCTCACAAGAAGACATTAGTTTTCTAGCTTAACTCAGGAAATGTGAGTGACATTAGCAGAATGAGTGTAAAAAATGCCTGTATTTTTTTAATTTTGCCAATGGCCAACATGGAATGACAGTCCTTTCTTGGAAGACACTCACAGTTGTCACCTCTTTGACAATTAAGAATGTCATTGAGTGGTCATAGGAAAGAATTCTTTAAAATTGTCTACAGTGGTATATATCTATGGGATTGCAAATAAACAATGTAGAGTTGTGATTGTTGGCAATCAGAAGTCCATGAAGGCCAAAAGCAGAAATCATTTTGGAGGTTTCTCAGGTGTTCAGTTAGCATTGATATTTGTCTTATGTTGCCTCACAAAAAGGTTGTATCAGGATACCAGTCACAGATTCTTTCTCTTTTTTAGTAGTATCAAATACTAGCACCGATTAATATACTGTTTCTCCAACACAATCCTTTTTCATTCAGTGAGAGATATAAATCATTCTGGCCATCTAGTTTCCCAAAGCATGTGTGCAGGGTTTTTCCCTTTGCTGTTGCTGTTTTTACCATACCTCACAGCAGGAGAACTTTGCAGCTGTATCTCAGACAGCTGCTGAGGTGGTCCCTATCAACACTGGGCATTTCTCACACAATTATTAACCACATTGCATATTTTCTTAATCAACACAGAAGCCAAAATCACAGAGGCAAAACCTCCCTCTTTCTATAGGATTTTATTGTTTGTGGCAGGAGAGGTTGGCTGAGCTGTAAGGAAACTTGAAAGTGTCACTGCTCTGTTAGGTGCAGTCTTATTTGACTAAGAACATTTTTATATTCCAGCACTATCACCCTGAAGATCCAGTTCTTTCAAGCCTAAACACAAGTTTTTGAAAATACATTGAACAGGGAAATATTCCAGGTGATGCCTTCACCTCAGTGTCAAAATAAATTATATACGATAATAAATAACAAGTTATTTTTAATTAGTAGTATTCAAATTAATAGTGTATAGATGGTATGAGGTAAATTTAATTAAGTAGTCTATTTTTTCTTCATTACACAGATTTATTCAGTATTTACTCCATTATTTTCCCAGTATTATTCATCATCTCAGCTAATGGTTTACTGCATAAATGGAGGTATCATTCCTTTTATTTATCTCCCTTGTTAAACAGCAGAACGTGTAGAATTCAGACATTTGACATCTATATACACTTTTTATTTGCTTAGGTGTATTTGCGTTTGGATCAGCCTGTAACAGCTTTGAACCTTTTCAAGCAAGGGTTAGAGCGATTTCCTGGAGAAGTGACTCTTATTTGTGGAATTGCCAGAATCTACGAGGTATGCACCCACTATGCAATCCTTATAGTGGCCAAATTTAGCTGTTTGAGCAAGAAAGAAGAGTCAATAGTTGAATATAACTGTAAGGTCATCAAAAACCAACTGTGCTGATTTTCAGTTTCACTAACGCAGTACAGATAACTTTCCACAAAGGTAACAAGGTAATGTCAGGGGAACCCTGCAGGCTTATTAGTTTCAACAATTAATCACACCAGTGAGATCCCATTTGCCCTTGGCATGCAGAAGCAAGTCCATATTAAGTCAAGTTGTCCAGATGTTGTCCTTGCTGGTTTATATGTATTTCATCATACCAAAACTGCTCAAGTCACCAGCTAGCAAAATTAAGCAGCAAAAATAGTTTCTTGGTCTGTGTTGTTTTTATTAGCACTATGTGTTACCATTAATTTTTTAAGGCTCTGAGAACAGTTAGAATGTGAATGTTTCTTAGACAGGAAGTAAATGTTGTACTAAGTAGGATTAGTTATAAAGTAGTTTCACTTTAGCATTGTGACCATGTATTTTATATTTTATAATTGTATATCTTCATGTCAAACAGTGGACTTCATATTGTTTTTCACTGGAAGTTGGTAACTTGCTATTCCAGAACAAATGTTAAAAAAAAGTAATGAATTTATTTTTTTCTCTATATTCATGCTTGGCATTCTATCCTGTTCTCATCATTCTCATCTAACCCCTAAGCCTTAATCCATTTTCATATTAAATCCTTTTTGTCCTTCAGCAAGAAAACAGCTGCATATTTTTTGGAGGCTTTTCTTTCTGAATTGTTGAATAGTTTCTAATATGGATATTATTTTGCAGAACCATACATAACATTGCATAACCCTTTAAGGAATTATTAAAGAGCAGCATATATTTGATAGGATCTAGTTTTGCACTGGCACTTGAGTGCAGGATTATAGCTTCATTAGCAAAGATTTGTACTGCAACACAGGGTTGCTTTCATTATATAGACTCACAAGTGGGATATATGTATCAGGCATGTTAATCAGAGCTTTTCTTCTCAGTCACTAACTTTTGAAAGTACAAAGAGTTGTATAGCATTTTTGGTTTAAAAAAACTGCATAATTTTTAAAGGGACTGCTTTATTACTATTTCCTTTAATCACAAGAAACCTTTTTTTTTTATAGCTAAATACACTGCTGAGGTTATATAAAGGCTTATTCTTTAGTTATGTTGGGAGCACATTGTATCTACAGCACACAGGTAGAAATTATTCCCATATAAACACAGAAACGCAGAAGTGAGTTTGATCTTTTTATTTTATTTTTTTTCCTTGCATGGGATAGGGTTCTCAGGACCTTGCACCCCTCAGAAACAGTGCACTGTCATTTACAGCAGTGAGTTTACCCTAACTCATCTTCCAGGTAGCACAAATCCGAGCATATGTTTATTTACAATGCAGTTCTCTTAACCGTCATATCCTAGGTAGTACAAGGTTTGGTAAATTCGTGATTCCTGTTTTCAAAGGCACATAATAGATTTTCATATGCAATTATATTCTTGTTTGTGTTCAGAGAAATTAATGAGTTGTTTTAAAAAGCACTGAAAATAGTCGAGACATTGTCTGGGGAAGTCAGTCTGTTCTGTGTTACCATGCTGGGAAACTGACTGCACAGTTCTGGGTGTCAGAAGACATTGTGCAAGAAGGGGCCAAGTCTGTTGCATGTGGTGCTGCTCCAGCATGGGTAACCCAGAGGGTCACAAGTCCTGTCAGTGAACCTGATCCAGTGTGGGCTCCTCTCCTCATGGGGTCACAGGTCCTGCTAGAAGCCTGTTCCAGCATGGACTTCCCACAGGGACACAGCTTACAGCAGGGTCACCTGCTCCAGCATGGGGCTCCTCCATGGGCTGCAGGTGGATCTCTGCTCCCCCAGTGACCTCCACGGGCTGCAGCTTACCATGGGCTGCACCAAGGCTGCAGGGGAATCTCAACTTTGGTGCTTGGAGCACCTCCTGCCCCTCCTTCTGCACTGACCTTGATGTCTGCAGAGTTGTTCCTCTCACATATTCTCACCCCTCTCTTCCTGGCCACAATTACATCTGTGCAATAACTTTTTTTTCCTTTTTAAATACATTATATGTTATCACAGAGATGTGACTACCTTCTCTGACGAGCTCAGCCTTGAGGCCAGCAGTGGGTCCATCCCAGAAGCAGCTGGCATTGGCTCTGTTGGATGTGGAGGAGGTTTTGGCAGCTTCTCACAGGGGATGAGGGACCCCTGTAGTTCTCCTCAACTTCCAAATATCAATACAATATTCAATACAACAGGCTGTGTCTTTTTCTAAAAAATAAAAACCAAATAAATCTCTTTTTGTAGCTGTGGCACAGAGTTAATTTCAGGTAAAGATATTACTAATAAATATGCATTCCTCTCATGGGTGTGTGTGCTGCTTGTGAAGATGCCAACCAGTGATGTTGAATGGTACAATCAGAGAACTTTAAGAGCATATATAATTAATCTCAATTAGGTACTGTACAGGGCATAGATAAAGAACAAGATAGATTAGCATTTTAGTGAGTTCCACATTAAAAATAGGTGATAAACAGTAGAAATAATATAAATTTTTTTCCAATTGTATAGGAAATGAACAATATCTCCACAGCTGCAGAGTACTATAAAGATGTCTTAAAACAAGACAATACTCACGTGGAAGCCATTGCATGCATTGGCAGCAACCATTTTTATTCAGACCAACCTGAGATAGCTCTGCGGTTTTACAGGTATCTGTACTTATGGAGAAGGAGGGAGGGGGAACAGAATATGTGAGGAGGGGGTTGATTAAGGTTGATAAAGGGTTGATTTCTGTAATGTGGGGAAAAAAAATTAACTAGGAGATTGACATGGGAGTATGAATGAGCATTTGGACAAATATTACCATAAAATCAGTTTACCAACTTTTGTATCTTTTCATACAGTGATAAGTACATCACTACAAACTTGTAATCATTACATGAGGAATATGTAGAAGTATCAACAAAGGTTATCAAAACAGTTACCATTCAACCGGTGAACAAGGAAAGTTTTTTCACAGCACGGGGCAGTTTGAGAACAGTGGATCTTACCCTCGACTTCAGTTGTGTACAGAAGGCACAAGGACTTCCTCTTTAGCCCTTACTCCACCTGAAGTGACCAGGACTTGTAACCACAAAATCCCTCACTTGGAATGTGGGCTGGGCTTCCTGTGTGTTTTACTGAAAGCAGTGAAAAGATAGTGTTAAACACTGCTGCTTGATTTTTATTTCAATACAGGCAGAGTGCGAAGGAGCCTGACATTCTCCTGCTAAGAGCAGATTAAGTCAACAAGAGCACTATCATCACATTTCTATTGGACTTGAGGGTTTTTATGCCTTAGGTTCAGAAACTCACAGTCATGCTGCAAGACAGCAGCTGTCTTTTCCCTTGGCCCTCATAGCACTTCTGTTTTTCTTATAAATATTAATAAAATAATTTTGATGTTACATCTCCATTTTAAAAGACAAATTAAACAGTATCAGTGTGAATCAATATCTGAGTTATGCTTGATGTGTAAGATTAATATAGATTCACATCTTCAATACTATTACTAATTAGAGCAGTGCTGAAGGATGGGAATCAAGCGAAACATTGAAGTCTTAAGAGTTATATAAAGTAACTGCAACAAACTACAGCTTGATTTATGTCTAGAGATTGGAAAGAGGAAACAGAGAAAGTCTGTTACATCTCTGTCTTATAGTAAAGTCAAATCATGTGACCTGGTCAGGAAGACAGATGTTACTAATTTACACAGACTTTTGCACAGTTGTGATTCTACTAAAAAACACCTTGCCCTGCCCTTCATGAAACTAACAAGTGTAAGACTGTAGCACTTGGTTTTTATACCCTCTCAGAACAGGGAGAAAGGAGGAGAGAACTTTATCTTTTAGAGTAGAACTCCTACTTGAAATGAATTTTTAAAAAAACTATACAAATGTTTTCTTTATAACTAGACGGCTCCTGCAGATGGGTGTTTATAACTGCCAGCTCTTTAACAATCTGGGCCTCTGTTGCTTCTATGCCCAGCAATATGATATGACACTATCTTCATTTGAACGGGCACTGTTTTTGGCTGAAAATGAGGAGGAGACAGCAGATGTGTGGTACAACCTGGGACACGTGGCTGTGGTATGAAAAATATTAACCACCTTTCTGAATAAATGCAATTTATAAAAAATGTAAAAAATTAACTGGGAGGGAGTAATTTCTCTTCTTGGAAGTACAAAACATGATAGTGTACAGGATAAAGCCCTGTACAGATGGAATGTTTATTTGCACTTCAGTGAGAAAGAAGCAGCAAGAGAAAAAAACTCTGTACTTTACATAATGTGGCTTTATCTTGCTAAAAGATGCTCACTATTCACTGTCTTTAACCTTCCCATCTTTCTAAAAAAATTGTAACATATACCAGCCCTTGAAGGCCTTGGCTGCAAAACAAGCAAATCTGGAAAAAAAAAAATAAAAATTGAATACTAGATATTTTTCTAGGTACTTTTATTTGTTTTATATGGAGGATTAAACTGATTCTTTTGTCATAAAAATACACATTCAACACCAAGCTGCCAATACTAAAACACTAAGTAGGTCATAGTTGAGAAGATATGTTGCTCTGTCTTAAAGGCAACTATAGAAATATTGTGTAGTTGTGTGATAAACTTTGTTAAATTTCTACAGAGATTTTCTTACAGTCTTGCCCATTTCTGCAGATGTTTTTCAAGAAGTTGTGTTGTATTTCTCTTTATCTACATGCCCAGAATAAGTTTGCTGAATAAAGTTTTTGACAGCTTTCTAACATGAGTTGTCTTCAATTGCTGTTAATGATTTGAGTCAGAAACACAACTGTCTTTTACTGCAGCTAGCATAAACACAGTAATTTATACTGCCTTGAAGACTGAAATTTGAACTGATGTGCCTGTGTTTTTCAGCATTTGTCACTTTTGATGTTTAACCTGATGCTGCGTCAGTGTTAGTCTAAACACTACAGTAGTAGTCAGCTGTCAGCTGCTCCATCTGAGAAGTGAATCTCCCTTAACTTAAATATGTGTAGAGACAGAGAGGCAAGATGACTTCCTCTCTGGAGACATCTCAGTTTTTCTTACCCTGCTATAGACAGTAGCAGATAGCATAATCTTTAGATGACACCTCAATCATCTAAAAGTTAAATTAGATGAAGCAAATATCACTTGAAGCATGGAAGTTTGTGCTGGAGAGAAATGATTCTATCTGTAGAAAGAATACAGGAAATAAGGAAAAAATGAGAAGATCTGGGAAGAAAGCACATATGTTTCTGATCAGTATGTTTTTATTGTAATTTTCATTCCGTTGTAGTACTTGTGGGTGAAATGTTACTCCAGAAACCAAAAGAGATGCATACTGTTTCCAATCTTTTCACAAATGAAAACACAATCTTACTTTTAGGGCATAGGAGACCTGAATCTGGCTTACCAGTGTTTCAAGCTAACATTAGTCAACAATAATGACTATGCAGAAGCTTACAACAACTTGGCCGTGCTGGAAATGCGAAAAGGTCACACTGAACAGGTCAGTGCTGAATCTCAGCCTAAGCAGAATGCTTCATTTAGGCATTTTGTATTTAACAAACATGTCATTTCTCTGAGGTGGAGGCATCATATGAATGTCTAACTCACTGTTAGATGCAGAAAACATGGATAACTATTATCCCTGTTTCAGTGTAAGCTCTGAAGTATTGTCATGCCATCTCCCATTAAACTGCTTATTCTTTGGCATATCCAAATGAATCATCAAAGACAAGCAAGGTTTCCAATAGCTTTGCAGTTGTTGAGATTTTTTTTTTTTTAAATTGATACCCAAAGGAAATCCCATGGCTTTATAATCATCACTTAAAAGACAACTTTGACTGTATACACTGTATACACTTTATAGATGTAGATAACATACTTTTTTTGGGCGGCAGAAAAGAGCAGTCAGATTAGCTCTTGAAAGTTGGGGCTTCTTTAGCAAAGAGAATGCATTAGAATTTTGTCAGAAAGCAATCTGTTCTTGATAAATACTTTTGCATCAATAAGCTTGGTGGTTCATCTTACCTAAAGTGAGTATACTAAGGGTATTGTGCTTAGATGTATAATTGACATGCATGGTGGAATAAATGTAACCATTTTTATATACATGCAGGGAAAATGGATATGTGTTTTTTGGAGAGTTTTGGACAGAGCTACTGTGGGCTTGTTTCAAACCTCCTGAGAGCAAGCTAATTTGATGAATTCGTATATATACATCATAGAGCTAAAATAAATTATAAATACCTTTTTAAAGAGCAAATTCTCTTAGAAGTTGACTTTATTCAGATAACTTAGCAATTACCATGGAGACACTGAAATGAACCCAGCACTGGATGTTACCAGTGACAAATAAACTTTGGGTTAATTTCAGTTTCATAATTTTTCAATAATTCAGTAAATTTGTAGACATTTAATTCCCTAGTGGAGCATACCCTCAGTTGTGGATGTTGTGATTGCTCATAACTAGCACTGAAGAGCCTTTCCTTTAGAATGGCTTCCTGTCTACTTTAGTTTTTAGCTTAAAATTTTCAGTTTCCTTTTTGTATAACATGTATAATTAAAAATTTGGATCATCTTGGCAATAAAACATGCACAGGAGACTAGAAATACGGATTGTATTTTGCTTATCACGGATTTTATTTCACAATGTTCTTTCGTAAGTACTGTTCTATGCACTCAGATTTTTCAGATCAAGGGAGTTTTAATAAGTTCCCAGCTCAGTCTTGCCACGGTTTACGGTTTCTTATGTTTTTAAACATTTTGGAGTTTTCCTCATTAAGTTCTCCATTTTTTAGTAAAATCTTTCACAAGTGGACCTTAATTCTGCATTGGATTTACAGCATGAAATTATGCACTCTGATGCTTTGTTTGTTTTACCTTTTTATGCCTCTGTTTTGCTAGTGAGAAAAAAATCTCTAATTTTATTAAAATGTTTGAGTGTGAAAGCTGTCATTTATATGATAAAATTTATCATATAAAGGTTTCAGGGATGCTTAAGACAGAGCTGTCAGAGACAAGAGATAAATACAGTGGGGTGCTCTTTAAATACTTTGGGTTTTATTTAATTTATTTGATATATTGTCCTCAGGGTTTAAAATAGAATTGTTTAATTGAGTGTGTCCCAATATTTTTTTCCTGACTCAACCAAAAGTCTTTATTCATTTCAATGTTATTTGACTTTGTTATGCCTACACTGTTGATGTAACTTTCTTGAAAATGGCTTTCTTACTAAAGACTTAGTAAACATAGGATGATTTCTTTTAAGAATTATGAATATTGAATTAGCTGCTTGTTACTTTCCCTCCTAGATTTCACTATATTATTATTTCATTTCTCTGTATAGGCAAGAGCTTTGCTGCAGACTGCTTCATCTTTAGCCCCTCACATGTATGAGCCCCATTTCAATGTTGCCATACTCTCAGAGAAGGTAATGCATTGTCCTGTTCTTGTAATCTAAAAATTGAGACTTGGTAAGACAGGTGGGTTTATTGTTATTACTGAGAATTCCAGATAGATAAAAGAATACAGACTGCATAAATTCAAGGAAAATACTAAATAACATTTTCATTTTAATACCTAGAAATGTGTCAAAGTAGCCATTCCAGTGTTTTGAGAATAAATGAGTCCGACTGGCTATGAAGTAACTTTATAATTGTCCAAATGCCTGGAAGATGAACAATTTGTTAAGAATTTCATGTACAGTCTTTACAGTCATAAGCTTTTTCAGAATGTGAAGTGTAATAATATAAAATGATTTATTAGTAATGATAGAAAGAATATCCTTTACTGATAATATCTTACTGACCTCAGAAGGAAAATCTGTTATTCAGCTTTATAACCTCTGAATTTTTTGTGTTAGTAGTCTATTTCATCCAGAGTGTCTAAGATACTGTATTAACAGTGTCTGTTAATAAGACAAACTTGTACAATTTTTTTCTTGTTTCTTCACAAGAAGAAAATTGCTCCTTTGCTTATGCCTACACCTTCATGATTCTGTTATGATTCTGTGTTGTGTGGGCAACTCCACTCCTACAGATGCTGAAGTACATGCATCAAGAAGAGAATAACCCATTAATTTGTAAGTGTATCCTCTCCATTGTGAAACACAAGAGGGTGTTGAATAATTGCAATTTTTACTTAATGATTGGGGAGTAAATTCTAGTCTGCAAATGTCTTGTTACGTGGATTTTGTACAAAGAGCCTTTACAGGTTATGGGAGATGACAGAGGGCCACATCAACCAGGTGTTAGTGCAGTGGGGTAATGCAATCCTTACATTCAGTGTAAGGCCATAGGTTACAAAAGATTACTTTTCTGGCTGGGGCCTTGGCTTTTTCTCCTTCAGAGAATTCTTGCTGTGCTGAAGCTTTGTGTTGAGCGATGCACAGGCAAAAAAGGGCTCCTGGCTGTCTATAGCTCTTCCCTTTCCATTCAGGAGTAATGACTTTTACTAGATGTGTTCCCAGATATTTGGGTTCTTTTTTGCTGATCCCACTTTCTGCGACGCTTTCCCTTTAATCCTTCCCAAAAAATGATGGCTATTTAGGAAAAAAATTAAGTTCTCTAAGTAGGAAACAATTTCTTCTAAAAGCAACAGAGGAGCACTATTAGTTCTCCAAGACTGTTGTGCATCTTTGTGAGGAGACTTGGTAAGACAGGTGGGTTTATTGTTATTACTGAGAATTCCAGATAGATAAAAGAATACAGACTGCATATATTCAAGGAAAATGCTAAATAACATTTTCATTTTAATACCTAGAAATGTGTCAAAGTAGCCATTCCAGTGTTTTGAGAATAAATGAGTCCGACTGGCTATGAAGTAACTTTATAATTGTCCAAATGCCTGGAAGATGAACAATTTGTTAAGAATTTCATGTACAGTCTTTACAGTCATAAGCTTTTTCAGAATGTGAAGTGTAATAATATAAAATGATTTATTAGTAATGATAGAAAGAATATCCTTTACTGATAATATCTTACTGACCTCAGAAGGAAAATCTGTTATTCAGCTTTATAACCTCTGAATTTTTTGTGTTAATAGTCTGTTTCATCCAGAGTGTCTAAGATACTGTATTAACAGTGTCTGTTAATAAGAGAAACTTGTACAATTTTTTTCTTGTTTCTTCACAAGAAGAAAATTGCTCCTTTGCTTATGCCTACACCTTCATGATTCTGTTATGATTCTGTGTTGTGTGGGCAACTCCACTCCTACAGATGCTGAAGTACATGCATCAAGAAGAGAATAACCCATTAATTTGTAAGTGTATCCTCTCCATTGTGAAACACAAGAGGGTGTTGAATAATTGCAATTTTTACTTAATGATTGGGGAGTAAATTCTAGTCTGCAAATGTCTTGTTACGTGGATTTTGTACAAAGAGCCTTTACAGGTTATGGGAGATGACAGAGGGCCACATCAACCAGGTGTTAGTGCAGTGGGGTAATGCAATCCTTACATTCAGTGTAAGGCCATAGGTTACAAAAGATTACTTTTCTGGCTGGGGCCTTGGCTTTTTCTCCTTCAGAGAATTCTTGCTGTGCTGAAGCTTTGTGTTGAGCGATGCACAGGCAAAAAAGGGCTCCTGGCTGTCTATAGCTCTTCCCTTTCCATTCAGGAGTAATGACTTTTACTAGATGTGTTCCCAGATATTTGGGTTCTTTTTTGCTGATCCCACTTTCTGCGACGCTTTCCCTTTAATCCTTCCCAAAAAATGATGGCTATTTAGGAAAAAAATGAAGTTCTCTAAGTAGGAAACAATTTCTTCTAGAAGCAACAGAGGAGCACTATTAGTTCTCCAAGATTGTTGTGCATCTTTGTGAGGAAGCAGGAAATCACAGAGTTGGGTTTTTTTACAGAGGCCTGATGGGTTGTGTTTTGCTTGTATATGCAATAGACATAATCCTGCATCCAAATGTCTTTGTACTGTTCACTCTTCAGACCAGCTGTGTTTAAAATTTGTGAGCATCAGAATTGTACTGCACAGAATGCAAAGAATACATGATGCAAACACTGCAGTGTTTGGATTTTCAAAATTAGTTTATGTGTTTCTTACAGGTTGGAGATCTTCAGAGAAGTTACACAGCAGCTCAGAAGTCTGAAGAAGCATTTCCAGGCCATGTTGATACACAGCAGCTCATCAAACAGTTAAAAGAGCACTTTGCTATGCTCTGATGAGCAAATTTTTTATTATGTAAGAAGTTAACCAGAGCAAATGTCCCATACACATTTTGAAAAACCAGCTCAAAGTAGATGAACTATACTTAATGCATTCCTGTGGAAAAGCTTGTGTTACATTGAGTATTCAAATGTAGCTAGAAAACTTTGCAACTATGTACACAAGAGATTACAGAAAAGGGTTTTTTTCTGACTTATTCAGAAAATATTAGTTTTAATCATTCCTGTGTGACAATCTGTGAAGAAACTGAGTAAAAATAATTCATAACTGGTTTTCAAGTTGGCTTTTGATAGTATACTTTCTTATTGAATGATAGGTTTTAAAATTAAAATACTTTAAAAGCATTTTAAATACATATGTAAAGCAAAAGTTCTTATATTCCTTATAGTGTATGAGTTCAATAAATTCAGTTTCTATGGTTTGTTTCATTTGTTTATGTAAGTTAAATTACATCCTTATTACCATGAAAATCCAGGCTGATAGTCTTAACATTTTGAGAGACTTCTGAGAACTGGTACAAAATTGCATAAATGCATGTGTTCCTCTCCACCCAGGAGGGAGTTTATTCTGGATCTCAGTGAGGGAGAAGGGTATTTAGAAGCTTGCAGAATTAAGAACTAGTAGTTGAGAACAAGGCATTGATGGGGTGATTACATGTGCTACCACATAAACACTGTTGCTAAATAAGTATTTGGATCAATCTAACTACAGGAAATACCACTACCAACAACAAATGAAGGCTTTCTGTCATACTTTGTGTTTTAGCTAAAAGGAATACATTTGCATGAACTCCAAACCTGACCTTTTTAAAAGACCTTTAAAAAATGTGGGATGTTGAGGCAATCTGAAATGGCACATCCTGAAACAGACCTTTGAAATCTTTTCATGTTTCTCTGATATATTAGAGGGATGTCTTTAGCTTAAGGGGCAACCCTAAACATGCTTCTGAATCTAATGTCTTTTTTTTAGTATTTGTTACTTCTCCACCCTCATCTTTGACTGTTGGAACTGGTGAAGGTGGATGCTGGGGAGCTTAGAAAAGTGTGCCCACAGTTCCCCCACAGAGCATTCTGTAGGTGACAGAAAGACTCATTAATTGCCATCACATGGTGTGAAGTGCAAAACATTATTGGCTGAATAGATGCAGCAGCATCTTATGAAATTTTATTTTGTCCATTTTCATTTTATATTACTGGAAATTCATCACAAAGTATTTAAAAGGGAATCTTAGTTACCAATAATTCTCATTAGTTAAGATTTTACTTGCTGCCAAAATGCAAGAATTTAGAGGGAAATTCCATCATTTGATCTGCAGTATTTATGTCTTTCCAGCTGTCATTACTAAACTTAGAAAGGCACCAGAAAAGAAAATTGTCTTAGCAGTTTAAACACAACTGTTGAGAATTTTTGAATGTCATATTATTAACTCAAAGTAATTTCAAAATTGCATAGTAAAGGAGTCTATTTCTATATGAACTGGAACAGAAATGAATAATGCAACTTCAGTTTTTAATCCAGTATGGCTGCTTGATGGTTCCTCATAGGTGCTTATAAGATGCCACTTACTGTTTTCACTGCTCAGGTTAATGATCTGAGTAACTGTTTTCTTCTAGCAAACAGTGTCCTTTACAACATGGACCTGACTTCATTATTCTTTTCTTACTGGGGAATGTATGAAGATCGAAAGGGAAAAGGATTATGTATGTTAAAGGATTCCTTCACACAATATGCTTGTGCAAATCGGGTATTAAAAAACTTCACCTTCCTCCCTCCTCCAACCCCCCAAAACACAAAGTTCTAAACAAGGATTAAAACCTTTTTAGCTCCCTACTCTGCATGATCTGCAAGCCATTCCAAATTTATCTTACGTGTTGTATTTTGATTGCCCCAAAAGGCAGCAGTGTTTTGCTTTGTTGATCTTCTGTGCCCCAAAGCAAGGGTCTGACAGTATATTTTTCACAATTAGCACGGTACAAATGAAATCAAATGTCGTAATGAGTACAGCAGCACAGTGCAACAACAGATGATTCAGCAGGCTGTTCATCCTGGAAGAATCTTTCGATTTCATTGTGTGTTAATTCAGTGTGAGCCGCAGCAAACGTGAATTGGCAGCCCCTGGGGGAAAGCGCCTTCGGTTAATTGAGGGCGACACCGCACAACACAGTGCATCAGAGCATGCTCATCTCTGCAGCAGGATCGTGTTGGAGCACTGTGACCTTAGTATTGCAAATTGCATTTCTGTAACACAGGTAAAATTTTTCCCCTACCTGTAGCACAGATCCATGTATGTCTGGCCAGCATTTACAAAGTCTCTTCAGAGTAGAGAATAGAATACAATTTTAAAAACTCACAATTTTTTAATCTACAGTGCTGATAGTTCCACAACAAAGATGACTGGAAGGAAGTTCAAAGCAGATATCTGGGGGGTCTTGAAGTTTCTATGTCCCTTCAGGAAAGGTCTGTACAGTTTATGGCTGTTGCCATTAGTTTTATCCTTCTTCTTGACCATCCTTTTTGCTGGGGTCTTTCTAATGGATTAATCCATTGAAAGGTGAAAATGTAGGGTTAGGTTATTAAAGGAATGTGATTCTTCTGCTAGATGTTATAGCCACAGCTGTTATAGCCATAAAACTGTGGCTGAAATTAACCACGATTCACACTTAAGGGTTGTGGATGATTTTAGCTGGAAAAAGCAGCTTCAGAAGTTGTACAGGACAGAGACAGTTTGCCATTAGGTGCCAGTTCAGTCAGTGTATGGCTGGATAATGATCCAATTTTGTTATTGCTATTGCTGGTTGATTTTTCCTTTGATCGCTTCCTGTCCTTGTATTCTAGAGGTGAGAGATTTTGGGGTCATTCTGTCTTATCTCTGGAATGACATAAGTAAACCTTTTAAAGCCAGGAGCTTCTTCTAATGAGCTTATTTTGTACTTGAGTAGCAATTACCTGCTGTAGCAACATCAAGTTTTGTGCAGGAGTTTGTATTTAGTCCCTCTCACTACCTACTACATGTTTGTCTTCTTTCTGTTGGATACTTTCAAGCTCATTCATGTCTTTCCAGGCTTAACCCACTCTCAACCAGTGGATACCCAGAGTGGGCCACAGATTAGTACTGTCCTGCTATCCCACCATCACAAGAAACAAGAAAGCAGATGGCAAGTGTAGAATGCAAAATGTCCCTTTCTCTGCAAATGAAAACAAAATTAAGTTTCCCTTTGTGAGAAGATTCTAAAGATTTCATCTTTAGAAGATGAATAAAGCAAAAGCTAAGAGAATTTTATATTCAAGTCATTTATAGACTTGTATCTCCAGTCACTCTCCAGTGGCATTTGAATTCCTTTGTTGGTAAGATGGTATTAGTAGTTTCCCTGAATAGTGGAGTTTTTAGAGATAGTGAGTGCTCAGAAGCTGCAAATACTCAGAAGCATCTGTAAGGAGATTAAGTCTGAAAGATATTCCATGAAAGCAATTTTTGTTGCAAAATTATCAAGTACCGAATTACACTGAGTAACTGAAGGAGCCGTACAAGTACTATATGTACTTTCAGTCTGTTGATTACTTAGAGCAATTGCTTAGTGCACAGCCCTCTCCTTGTGTTTAGTTTACTTAAAGGTCATAAAGATTTAGTTGAAAAATATTTCCTATTTAGATACTAAATCTGAATAAAATATGTAAAAAAAGTCAATTACTTTGTTGTAAAAAACTCTTCCCAACACATAGTGCATTATGTTAATTGTGTACAAGATTATATCAGCCCATACAAATGTGGTGGTTTTCCCCCATTTCCTGTTTGCTTTTTGACAGATATTTCCAGTGAAACCAATTATAGTGTGACAGTCTTGAAGCCATTAGAAATGAGACAGAAGAAGAAACAGCAGGATGCAAACCTTGCTCAGCACTATAGAAAGGACAAAGTCATTAAGAGCCAGGAAGCTTGGTTCCAGCAAGTAGACCACCTCAACAGTTTCATCTCATTTTCAGCTTATTCAGTTTACATAACCATAAAGTAATTGCCGAGGTTCTACATTTTAGCTTTGGTATCATTTTATGCCACTATCAGTTCCATATTTTTCTAACTCTATATATTTAATAATATCAAGCACATTTAAAGCTATTACACATTAACTAATTATCCTTTCTAGCAATAAATTTCAATCATGCTAACCAATGGTCATCCATCAAGAGACTGGACTAATGGTACATGAGATACCACCCAAAAGCCAATTTAAAAGCAGCCCTGGACTATTTTTATTTCTGTGAATTGCCATAAACCAGGGTTCAGATAAAAACCACAGTGTTGTAAAGTGTACGGTCACTGACTCTTTTTTGAACCTGTAGAACAAAACCAAATGCGCATATCTGTTGTAATGCATTTAGAAAAAATGGTATGACCCGAGAGAATGTACCCCCGAAATGCAGAATGTAAGTTTCTTTCCCTTATCTCTTTCTCCCCAGTTCGCCTTATTGGTTGTGTGAAAGTAATCCACCCTCTTCCCCCTGCCTTCAAAAAGACACGCTTATCAATATTCTTCCTCTTTTCCTCCTGCTTTCCTTCTCCACAGGATCCCAAGAACAAGAATAAAGCTGAACTTCCATCTCAGCAAGGGAAAGAGCCTTGGTTTTAGTTCCTCTGTTCCATGCTATACTATCTCCCCTGTTTCCTTGGCTGCAGCTGGGTAGACAGTGGTAAGAGAAAAACAAGGGACTTAGAAATAATGGTACATATCTGTTCTAGTTTTCAAGGATGTAATTGTTAGTTCTTCCAGAGATACTGATGGGGGAGGCCCAGTATTAAAACTCTGAAAGGCCCTTACTTCTGCCTGCAGTCCTGCAATGTCTGATGGCTAGGCTTAACATGCTGTCATTACTAAACATTCATTTATTAAGGTTCTTGATGGTAGCTACTTGAATGAATGTAAGATTTGAAATTCAATATTAATTCTGGGAAGGTAGGCTGATAAGCAGACACCAAATGTATCAAAAATCTCAGCAGTATAGACATGGCTGTCATTACTGCATATGTGGAAGATATCCACAAATAGACTGTGTCTCTAAGTCAAGGAGTTACTGTAGACAGTAAAGGAAATAATTCTCCAAGAGTACCTTGGACCCCAGTCTAACGGAACACTTGGAAGGGTGGGTGGAATGGGAGATCCTGTTTTGCAGGGGTATATGTATATTAGCAAAAAATA